GGATTTTCGGGTAAAAACTCTAAGACTGAGTGGGTGCTCCAGAAAGACTTGCAACCCTTTCACCTTTGAACATGCCGGTTCACTGCGAGACTTTCCCCAAACTGCACAGACAATCCTTGTCCTTGTCTAGGGGCCAGGGAATACCCGCAATGCCAACGGGATTTCATAAAAAGCTTCGCGCAAATCAGCTGGGTGATATAAGCGATCTCCCTGCGATCGAAACTGCAAAAAGGGAAATGCTTTGACCGCACGTAGTAAGGAACTAAAGCTTACGATGCTTCAGTCGCGGAGTCCAGTTGCTTTCGCGAATCATTTTATTTTAATGAACGACGCGGCTATCACACATCTTTCGCGAAAAAAGTGTAATCCTTTCGTGTCTTCTGTCGCAAAACTTTTGCGAATCCTTTAAATCAGCTGAAATGGTCGCTCAAGTATGAACCGTCGACAAGGACCTTTAGAACAACCCTCAGTTAGTGTTTCAAGAGCATACGAAGACCTGAGCATCCATGCCCCAAAAAATGATCTAGTTGGTGTTCCAAGAGCATACAGCGACCAGAACATCCATGCCCAAACCATAATTTCATTCGCATTCCAAGAACATCCATGCCCAAAACATAATTTCGTTCGTGCTCCAAGAAGCTTACGGTGACCGGAGCATCCATGCTCCAACCAGAGTTTCATTCGTGTTCCAGGAGCAAAAGGAGCAGCATTGGAAGCCCTCACATACTTGACATGCACTTTAGCCCACGTGCACCTAGTCACGTGCGTATGAGGCTCATACAAGAGTAATGAGACTATACGAGGTCTAATATACGCCTCCATTAGGGGTACCCACCTGATAACTATCCACCTGGAGGTTTGCTTGACAGAAAGCTGGTACAGCTCACACTGATCGCCCTCTGTACACCCATGGACGTGGATTAGGAGAACCCATCTACATTTCGGTCCTGCAGGTGCGCTGGGAACAAGAAACATCTGCATGGCTTGAGTGTGTTTCTGTGCGTCTGCCTGCAAACGCCTCAGGCTTCTTCAAACACGCCTCCCCAGTTAAGCTGAGCCGTGAAGAATAAACCCAAAACAATAAACCCAAAACCCCAAGCGCTGACCTTGAGATTTAGACCTCTCACTGAAGCTCTGAAAGCCTGAAAGCTGGACTCTTCCCAGGAAAAAGGAGACGGCCTCCAAGGCTTTTGCCCCACGCACAGGCCCACAGGGCCAGGTTTAAGCCCCTCAGGCTCCCGGGCGTAGCTCAGCCTCCAACAGCCCTCCTGGGCTTGCAAAGCTTTGAAATCCCTATAACCCCTATAACGGAGAATCACATGGAAAAGAAAATGGAAAATGAAATGGAAACTGGGATTATGTAGTAGTTTCCATTTTCTTTTCCATTATCCCAATACAACCCCAATATATTATACCCTATAAAATCCCTATAACCCACTCAAGAGAACCGGTTTGAAAGTGGGTTCACCTACCCCAGTGTCGCTGGATCTCTACTTAGATACGCTTGGCGGAGGTTCTGGGAGGGCTAGCATCTCTAAAAAAAACGCCGTACACATCCTTTGCAGTGGGTTCTATATCCAAGCCCGGGCCCTTGTTTCAAATGAAGGGCTCCTTATAATATTTAGGGTTTAGGGTGTAGGGTTTAGGGTTTAGGGTTTAAGTAGATAACCAGCAAAGAAACAAAAAATGATCTTCTTGGAGCCTGGGTGTCCAGGAACTCTTTCAAGTAAGGGTTCTGCGTCTTTTCGCGCATCTCATGGATCTCCAGCTCCCTGGTCTCCTGAAGCTCCCGTTCCTTGTCAAGGAATTTAATTTAACTTGCTACCTTGGGGAGACCCTTTGGGGAAACCATATTAACTATATTAACTAATTACTGCATATACCATATACCCATTCCGGTAACTTAACTTAAGCTCCTGAAAAGTAACCCAGTTTCCAGATCTGTCAATTCCAAGGGCCGAGTGCCCGAGAAGACAAGCCACAGATGCAGATGCAGATGCAGCAGCCGAAGCATGGGTGGCTGCTGCATGATTTCCATTCGAAGCAGGACTTCTGTGTAGGTATTTCAAAAAGGCAACAAATCTATGGAGGATTCTTGATAACCTCGTGTAATTCCAATCCGGGATGAAAAGTCTCCCTCACAAATGGGTCCCAAAATGCCCTGCGTCACTGCGCAGATAGCTCATCATAAGCTGAAAGTTTATGCTGGCAACGTGAACTCTGGGCATTGACCTGCCCTTGCGGCTAGCTGCTTGAAGGAGCCTTTAGGCGGATAGCTTGCTAAGGCCTCATTGCACCCGCTCTATCAGAGCCCGTTGTTCATGACCCCGAAACGGCCCTTTGCTTACGTTATACCACACAAGCCAAAAACCCTTGGGAGTTGCACCAGTTTGGGAGCCAAAGTGCAACTGCCTTTCCCCGCAGAGCTTATGTTTGCGTAGTGCCGAAGCAGAACGATGGGGACTTTTTGTTGTGATGGAGTTGTAGGGGTTCAGATTTGGAGTGTTTGTTCAGTCTTTGCCCCGGGCATTGTCTCTCTTGTTTGAGGTACACGGATCGCAAGGAAATCACCTTGCTCCATTTAGAAGATCCTGGTCTGCTCGTTTCAAGCCTGCTGTCGAAGGCTGGAGCTTTCAGTGCCAAGTGCATCTTCATGAATTCTGGATAATTCTCGAAGCAGCACACCACAGGGCTGACATGACACCATGAGACTGAGCACAATTTTGACAGGCTTTGCAGCTCCCTCAAGCTGGGTGCCCCCACCGCGCAGCCCGCTGGATGAAGACAAGGCCCTGCAAAGATTATTGCCCATAAACTACGACATGGCATAGATGTAGTGATAAACGGATCCACAAAACACTATGGCAACAACTGACCCGAGATGTGGAGAAGTACCTACACTGACCTACACGTCTTGGGTGCTGAGAATACACATGTCTGATCAAGAGCCTCATGCTCCTGGGCAAGTCGGGTGCCTACTGTGGACTGGAAGAGCTCTCTGGTGTACGCTGAAGATAGGGTTCCTCTGCATACAGAGGTCCACGAACTACGACCACGCATTGCTATGTTATAAGCCTTCTGGTCATTTGAGATCAAGCTTGGAATGCACGGTTGCAACTGCAGGGGGAAGCAGCAGAATACCAAAGTGAACCGAACATCAACACAGTTCACCGCGCTCAAGCTAATGCAGACCCCCTTCAGCCAATGAAGCATCCCAGGTTCGCTTCGATGCTGTACTGTAAACGTGCCTTTAAACATCTGCCATCGTGAGTTTTGTTTGAAAGGTGTGCTGAAGGCCTTAAGGGAGGAAAGAACACACCTAACCGTGGGCAATCGCTCCCCCTTTCAGAGCCAACGCGCTTTTACTGTTGTTCCTTAGCTGGATCCGGAACCTGGACAGGTCTGACTGAGAAGGTCGAAGTAAGTAGACGTCCTACTCTGCAATCCTCTTTGAAAGCCCCCAAACCTCAATGCCTTCACAATGCGAATCCTTCAAGAAAAGTCCCAAAGCTTTATTTGAAGACCATCTAGTTCCAACACCCAGCCTGCCAACGGTCCAGGCTGGTGCTGCAGAGATTGCCATTGCAAGGGGCTGGGCGGCCATGGCTCACCACACAGCCCTGGCGTCTATGCGGTAGCTGTACTGTGATAAGAAGAGGCTCCGGAAAAGGCTTGGCATCATTTTATTTGGCTCGTGAGCTAGAACGAAATATCCTTTACTTTGGATCGCCAATGCCTGTCTATGAACCTCGAGATGACATAATTGGCCGATGGGGTTTGAGAAGGTCCATCAGCCCCTGAGTGCCCATGATATAAGGCATAAGGCTTGTCACAATGACCTGAAAGTCTGTGCACGGATGTTGCAGCTGCAGCTTCATTCTTCAGCCGTACTCTTCACGTAGGTAAGATCAGCCATGTTTCCACTTTGGATCTGAGACAAGGCGTATGTTTGGTAGCCTGGCAGAAAATCCGCTTCCACACTGCTGCATCTCTCCTTTTTCAGGGCTGCCGCCTCTCTATCCACCACTCCACTCGAAACTATCGCAAACTTCCCGCTCAGCACCATCCTCCAAGCTAGGCATCTCACTTATTTTGGGATTTGTGGAGATGATATAGAGGCGGTTATCTCCAATTTGAAGGTTCGTGTTAAAATTGTGTTCAGGGTG